GGCGCCGTCGGGGGCTTGAGCTTGTATCCGTCGTTGCGTTGCAGGCCTCGGTGGTGGTGGTTGGGCTGCTGGTACCTGTTTGGCGGTCTGGATAGGCCCCTGAGGTGGAAAAACTGGACAATGCATCCTAATATGCCCACACCTCCGCATGCAAAGTAGGATCGTGAGGTAATACCGGCTCTAGTCTGAGTGTCTCCCTCTCCTCGGGCTGTCAAAAGTCGCTGTCCACCTGTCTGGTCTGGGCGACGGTATGGTGTCGGTCTCTGTGCCCCACTAGTGCTAGCACCCGTCCGAATCGGACCTCCTCTCGAGAAGCCTTGTCGTCGCTAGCTATCCTCTATGTCTCTCTCTACCAGTGCAGCTCTGTCCACCAAGTCCCCAAAATCACGGATCTTGAGAGCCACCAACTTCTCCTTGATGATCGGCCTCAGACCCTGCTCGAAGCGCTTGGCCTGTCAGCCTCATTAGATATAAATCCCGTAGCATAACGGGAGAGCTCGTCGAACCGCCTCTCATACTCAGCCACGGTCATACTACCCTTTCGTAGTGCAAGAAAATCCGTCTTCATTCGGTCTCTGACCGATTCAGGAAAGTACTTATCTTAGAAAAGTTGATCAAACTCTTCCCAAGTGAGTGTATCGGTGTCCCTTCTCCTCTTTATGGCATCCCACCAATAGTCGGCCTCCCCCTCAAACAGGTAGGTCGCCAAACCAACTCTCAACTCCTCGGTAACTCCCATGCCGTCACAGATCTTCTTCACTCGGCGGATCCATCTATCCGCCTCCAAAGGATTGGAGCTCTTTTGAAAATTGGGTGGTCGTTGTCTTAAGAATTCCCAAAGAGCTATCATCCTTCGGTCTCCGTTCCCATTGCCCGGTACTTGAGCGAGAGGATGAGCTCCACCATTGTGGTTGTTGTTACCATTTTGGTTTTGTACCAAAGTGGTGAGCTCCCTCAAGCATTGGTAAATGCCTTGCATGGCATTCGGAGGTGGTGGTGGTGGATTCGCTTGACCTCCACGGCCACGCCCACGTCTGTGTCCCCGTCCATTCATCCTGCACATCAATTCACAACTTAGTTCATGGATGTAAAGGACATCCTAAATATTAGGTTAAGCTAAGGCATAGAACGTATATAAAATTTCACTCAAGGATTTGATTCACCCTAATCCTAAAGCTCTAGAGGTGATTTCATAACCTACAGCTCCCATGTAAGACCTAAAGCCTAGGCTTTGATACCAACTTTGTAACGCCCCAAAACACACCCTAGATGACATTACATTCTAAAACCATTCATATCATGAGAGCACTAATATAATTCCTTAAGAAACAAGACTTCATTTGTCATCCACGAATATTTACAACATTATCCAAAAGAATAAGCCCAAGTCATGGCTATTACATCTCAAAAATTAATTAAGCGCAGCGGAATAAACAAAAGAAGCTAGACTACACAATGTTCCAAAAGAATGTCCTAGTCTAGTACAAAAGGAAAGGAGGTCGCTCTATGCGTCCACCTCGGGATCCACACTCCCGTCCCGTGGAGTCTCCCAAGTAGCGGGCTCCTCGACCCTTACGTCCTCCTCCTCAAGCTGGTAATCTGAAAAATGTTAGTGATAGGGGGTGAGCACGAAGCTCTGTAGAAACATTCTTCCAAACCCATACAAAGTTTAGAAAAATATTTAAAACGGTCGGTCTCAATTTTAACATAACATAGACACATAATTTGAAATAAAGTAGTGACATTTAAAAAGGATCTCAAGTTTATTTAAAAATATTACTTAAATGAATAAATGAGCACCACATACAAATAATAACCATTAATTGTCATAACCAATTTCCAATAATTCTTTCGGTAGGTGGCATACTTTGTGGTAACCTCCACCCCCCTTTTCGGTCACCTTTGATTCTCAAGCATCCTTATCGGGAACCTCTTGAAAATGGATGAGCATCCTTATATGGAATCTCTCACCAATCACTATATTATTTCCCAAGCATCCTTACCGAGAACCTCTTGGGAAGGGGTGAGCATCCTTACAAGGAACCTCTCACTCATGTGCATCATAAACAACCCAACCAAGCATATAATTCTAACATTTATCTCAATTTACAAACATCTATCCAAAATTTCTAAAATATATCATATAATAATTCCACAACTAACTAAGAAAATACATGAGATCACAATAACATCATTTTTCTATTCAACACAAAGCACTAAGGTTTCGAAATCCATAATAAAGAAAGCATTTAGGAAGGAAATACACCACTCTCCAAAAATTAGGGTTTTAAAACTAGAAAGGAGATTTTATGGGTTTTAAACCCTACTTTGTTCAAAACATGTAATCCTTGCAAAAAACCTAAGAGAGGATGATTCCATAGCATATATATACCCTTGATAGCTAAAACATACATATATAAATACCCTAGCCTCAATGTAAGTGAATGAGAGAAAACCCCTACTTTGAATCTTTAGCTTTGGAGTGAAGAACAAGAATATTTGATCTTTAATCACCTTTGAATCTCTTGTTTTTTCTTCCTTTCTTCTTCTCTAATGCCCTCTAGGGTTTCAAGAGGTGTGGGAGTATGAGGGGAGTGAAGGAAGTGAGAGCAAATGAGATGAAAATGAGTTTAAAATATAGCAGCCCCGAAAAATACTGTTCACAGGCTGTTTTGAGTTTCTCCAAATTTACGGTTTTGCCACTAAAAATCTCCAATTTGATCCATATGACTACCCTAAGGTTTTTCGACGTTCCGGATTCATTTTTAATGTTATTTTAACCTAAAAATATTTATTTTTATGATTTATCTCAACACCCACACCCAAGTCAACGTACACCCGAAACACTAAAGTTTCTATTTTACCCATCCGAATCGGCTATTAATGAAGTTTTGCGATGTTTGCAAATAAAATGTGATAAAGGGTGTTTCTTAAAGCCTTTTATACTTATTTGAAGCCTAAAAGTACTCATATTCTTATATTTTGGTTTAGGATGCAAATGAAGACATTAAATGCAAAACGAAGCTAATTGGACTATTTCGACATCATTTCGTTATCTGCGCATAACTCTCTCATCTAAGCTCCGATTGAGATGATTCAAGATGCTATGAAATGATACGAAAGAGCTCTAAAACTTTCATGTTTTGAGTTTTGAGAGATATTGACTGCATCAAGGTCTAAATCGAGCTTGAAGTTGCAGCAGTGCACTGTTCACGTGCACTGTTCATAGCCTGTCTTCGTCCCTTTTCCATTTCCAATCCATTCCTAAGCCAACCAAATCTATCTCAAACCTCTCCAACACATATTTCTACACCAAACCTATTTAATACAAGTTCTAGGACCTAAAATTTCATATTTTCACTTATTAAAACCAAATTTCAACTATTATTTTCACTAACATTTTAAATCTCTACTTTTCCAATCTACCAAATTCAAACACACATTACTACATATATCCACATTTTTTTTTATCACAATTATTTACTATATATCTATATAAATATATAAAAGAAAATGCGGGGTGTTACAACACATGATCAAACATGCATACAACGATAGATCTTTGTATGTAAGAATACGCTTATAATTCTCCTGATCATGTCATTTCAAGGTGTATATACAATACGTTTAGGGATATTCAAACTCCAAAACTATATCAGCTGCATACAAATTCAATTGACCAGATGGCAAACTTCTGTAAATTTTCACTACTCATGGGAAATTGATGCTACACATCTTGCTGAGTTTTCAGAAAGGTCTCGTCTTTATTAGTATTAGATGTTGGTAATGGTAATGGAAACTTGTAGACACTACAGTTACAAGAATGCAAAAATACATTGACCAAAAATGGAAGACTGAAAAGAAAAAAATGGCACAAACATGTGCGAGACTTAAAAGTGCAAAATTGATATTCATATTTTAAACTTACAGGAAGAAGTGGAAGCAGAAATGAGAAGGCTAAAGCTGGAGCTCAAGCAAACAATGGACATGTACAGTACAGCCTGCAAAGAAGCACTCTCAGCCAAACAAAAGGTACAAGGAAGTATATCTATTTACACCTTATAATTCCACCTCATATGCTAACATGGCCTGTTGTGTAGGCGAGGGAGCTCCAGCGCTGGAAAATGGAAGAACAGCAAAGGTTAGAAGAGGCACGACTAGCTGAAGAAGCAGCACTGGCACTTGCCGAAAAGGAAAAAGCCAAGTCCAGGGCAGCCATGGAGGCTGCTGAAGCAGCGCAGAGGATTGCAGAACTGGAAGCGCAAAAGAGAATCAATGCAGAAATGAAAGCATTAAAAGAAGCCGAGGAAAGAAATAAAGTATTAAATACGCTGGCACAATCAGATGTCAGGTACAGGAAGTACACAATTGAGGAAATTGAAGCTGCAACAGATTTCTTTTCAGAATCTCGGAAGATTGGAGAAGGAGGTTATGGGCCGGTATATAAATGTTATCTGGAACACACACCTGTTGCAGTTAAGGTTCTCCGTCCAGATGCAGCTCAAGGAAGATCACAGTTTCAGCAAGAGTTATGTGAACAACCAAATTTACATAGGCACAGGTTTGATGAGTGATTGGTTAACTTTTCAATCCAGGGACATTTTCCTGATCAGGGCTCATGCGAAAGAGGAAACATCTCTTAAGCAAAAGCATGTGATCTAACAGTGCTTAGAAATTATAGTAATTGCACATTCTTCTTCAGTTACTCACTGCAATTGGGACCAACTTCATACCCTTAATCAATAGAGACAGAACACTAGATTATACATTTTCTGTGCCCGAGCCTCACCAAATCATACAGTACCCTATCATAAAGAATTGATGAAAACTTTCAAATTGAAAACTTCTTTTTGAGATAATTGTGTTTTCCTACAAGATATGTTTATTTCCATTCCCCCATCCAGCCACTAGATTAGAATTCTCTTTCAGTATGGATTTATACTTACTTAAATGTCATTTTCCCCCAGGTTGAAGTCTTTAGCTGCATACGTCATCCAAACATGGTTCTTCTCCTAGGAGCTTGCCCAGAGTATGGGTGCTTGGTCTATGAGTATATGTCCAATGGAAGTTTAGAAGACCGGCTCTTCCAGAGAGGGAACTCTCCAACAATCCCTTGGCAGCATAGATTCCGAATTGCGGCTGAAATTGGCACTGGCCTGCTTTTCCTCCACCAGACCAAACCAGAGCCACTCGTGCACCGTGATCTAAAACCTGCCAATATCTTGCTTGACCACAACTATGTCAGCAAGATCAGTGATGTTGGCTTGGCGAGGCTTGTCCCTCCTTCTGTAGCAGATACTGTTACTCAATATCGGATGACTTCCACTGCCGGGACTTTCTGCTATATTGATCCAGAGTATCAACAAACGGGAATGCTCAGTGTAAAATCTGACATTTACTCTATGGGGATCATTTTCCTACAGCTAATAACGGCCAAGCCACCAATAGGGTTGACTCACCATGTTGAAAGGGCTATTGAAAGAGGAACTTTTGCTGAGATGTTGGATCCAGCCTTGCCTGACTGGCCAATTGAAGAAGCCTTAAGTCTTGCAAAGGTGGCACTCAAATGTGCTGAGCTAAGACGGAAAGACCGGCCGGATCTTGGGAACGTTGTCCTGCCAGAGCTAGAAAGATTGAGAGCAATTGCAGAAGAGAACATGTGGCAGTCCATGTCGTACAGTGCTGGTACTTCGCCCAACCATAGTCAAGTTTCCATGTCCCAAGTAAGTTGAGATTACTTAAAGTCAAACCTCCAAGTTCATATGCCACCCATCTAATCATGCTGCATATTAATCAGCTTATTGAATGTGAAGAGACTTGTGAAAGGAGCATGCCAGATTAAATCAAGATTTTTACACTTCAGAAACACTACTCTCTGGAATTTGGCAACCTGGACTGAACTTTCATATAAGAAACTCAATGAAGACAAGAATGAATCTATTACAAAATCTTAAGCTGCAAGGCAAATCACTGAGGTAGTATTTAGGGCATATTAGATTTACTGATAGATGCCCTCAACTTTTAAGTACAGAAATAATGATGAAAGTCATAAGGTCATAAAATGCATCCAACATGTTCTGAAGTAAATTCTTTCTTAGTAATTTTAGAAACATAAGAAATAAAGAAAAAGATGCATTCAATTCAATTGCTGTAGTGGGCACAATAGATAATTTAATTAAGACACTCAGATCTCTTTTATTTATAAATATCATTTCTCCATCTTCATTAATATAATTCTGCTATTTAAGCATTCTTACCAGCCCTGACATTCTAGAACGATTTTTGAAGGATGAATTAAGTTACCCAACAACTGCATGATCTGGCTACGATGGTACCAGGAGCCGATCAAGCACAGGGGGGTGCTTATAGATCAGCAAATAGGCTGATCGAGGAACAATTAGTCCCAAGCTCTACACCATAAAAATACATGAACGGTAATTTTCAATGGCAAGTAGAAGTTCATGATTGTCTTTAATTTTTGATTCATAATGCAAAGTTCCTCGAGTATTTGTGGCACATTTTTCAGTCCACACTGTACAGAACCAAGACAAGGTGAAGTAGGTGTCTCAAAAAATTGTTTCCATTTCATTACTTATACTATTTTTCCACATTCGTATGATCTTTGAGCTACCGCTAATTTTGTACATTTGCCAATACCAACATTTTGTGGGTGTAACAAGGGAGAAGAACATCCGTCAAAACAGTGTGCTTATGAGTTAAATGTTTATTTATGCATAGAATATTGCTTTTTGCCCACTTGTCTTTTTAGTGAAAGCTGTCCCTTTAAGGTAGAGTTTCACCTTTCAACAATTGAGTTACTGGCTTCATGAGCTGATGAGTCTTTCCTTGTTGTCTTATTGATTGAAGTACTGTACTAGCTCTTAGCCTTCCCTGGGATTGAGAAATAGGATGGTAATGGTTTGTGTGCACGAGAAAAGCCTCTCCCTTCCCCTCCCTCCGCTTTAGCTCCTTATGAGGGAAAGCTACAGTAATTCTTTGGATTATGGCCACGGGTGTTGTAATGTTCGTGTAGCATAACAAACCTAAGTATCTGCATAAATCCCAGACCCCAAAAGGCTTTGGTGGCATTAAATAAAATTGAGCATTTTTTTTTATTTGGTGGAAAAGGGAAAAAGTTCTCAGACAAACGAGACACACACCCACACAAACATCCAAGAGAGAGAGAGAGGAGGGAGAGAGAGAGAGAGCTCTAGTATACTTTCTGAGGAATACAAAAATGGAGTACTCGAGTAATAGTCCTGCCTAGGATTCGCCTTTCCATTTTACGTTTTTGATAGGTAATAGTAATAATTAAACTCATTGATCATTGATATTGATTGATTTTGTGGTCAAAAAAGGGTAGAATTACAAATTTATACGTCTTGAATTCGAGTCTCTCATTGCATGAAACAGAGGTTTAATTGATGCACGTGGTTAGTGGGTGATTGTGTGTACTTAAGATTTGTTGTTGTGAATCTGAATGGCATTTGATTGGAGCAATTTTCTATGATCCGAGGAAAAACATTATTTCAACTTCCAGCTCATGAAAAATAGTTATATTTTCAGTTTATACGTAACTTTTTATGGGATTGGTATCTAAATGATAAACAAAGTTATGGCATATCATGTCAAACATTCCATGGGTCTAGCCATGTTATATAACTTACACCTTAAGATGAACTCAATTTAAGGCGGTGTGTTGATAGGGCAATTATCGGACTCCAACTGAGCCTAGATTTAGCGATTATGACAAATGAAAACTAATATACTCTAACAATAGGACAAGCTCCACATAAAGTCTCTGCTTTGTATTTCCATGATTGTCGGGAAAACATTGGTTCAATTTACACTTCATGAAGAATAATGCTATATTTTCAATTTACTTGAGATAATTGTAAGTGAAAGAGATACTCAAACTAAGAGTAGAGCCTCTTATATATATAGTCAAATAATAATACAAAGTGATTTAAACATCTTTGTGGTCTAGACAAAAATATAAAGTCATAGTAAGGGTAAAATGGAGGAAAGAAACTTTAATAAACTAGATTATACTTCAACACTCCCCCTCAAGTTAGGCACAAAAATATCAATTAAATCAAGCTTGACAACTGAGTCTCGAAGAATAGATAGAGTGACAGGTTTGGTGAAAACATTTGTAACCTGATTACTGGTCCTTAGAAACAATGGAGTGAAAATACCACAGCGAACCTTCTCCCGAAGAAAGTGAACATCGATTTCTATATGCTTCATCCTCTCGTGTAATACAGAATCAGAAGCGAACGGAATAGCAGATCGATTATCACAATATAATGTAGATGAATCAGTCACTGAAATCTCAACTCGCCAAGAATCGATCGTAGCTAGATAATCTCACATGTGCCAAGTGTCAGTGTCCGATACTCTGCCTCTGCTGACGAACGAGAGACAACTGTCTGCTTTTTGCTTTTCCAAGAGATAAGATGAATCCCTCGAAAAGCACAGAAGCCCGTAGTAGATCGACCGTCACATACTCTCCCATAATCTGAATCTGAATAATATGCTAGAGAACCAATCTGAGATCTTGATGCATAGAACAACCCAAATCCAGGACAAGACTTGATGTACTAAAGAATATGATAAACTGCATCAAGATGAGGCTGACACGGCCTGTGCATGAACTGACTAACTCGGCTGACAGCAAATAAAATGTCTGGCATAGTGTTGGCTTGGTAGATAAGTCTACCTACCTACCAACCTCTGATAGACAGTCGGATCTCTCAATTCCTCACCTTCAGGTTTGGAATCATGGGTGATGATATCGGTTTGCATCCCAGTGTTTGAGAGAAGATCCAGAATATACTTTCTCAAAGAAAAAAACAATACCCCTGGTGCTACGAGCAACCTCAATACTAAGAAAATATTGCAGAAATCCAAGGTCCTTCATATCGAATGTCTTCCCAAGGTCTACCTTGACTTGCACAGTCCCAGAAATATCATCTACAGTAATAATAATATCATCAACATATACCAAAAGGATGACAAACTGTCCAGAAATATTCCGTCGAATGAAGCAGGTATGATCAAAATGACATCTGGTGAATCCCAAACGTACGACTACATCACTAAAGTGAGAGAACTAGGCTCGTGGTGACTGTTTCATTCTATAAAGAAACTTACGCAATCGACATACCTTTCCAGCATACTCCCCTCACCACGAAAGCCTGGTGGTGCATCCATATAAATAATCTCGTCCAGATCACCGTGAAGAAATGCATTCTTCACATCTAACTAATGAAGAGGCCAAGTGTACTCCGCAACCAAAGAAATAATCAACCGAACAATAGTTAATTTTGCCACGGGGGCAAATGTAGCACCAAAATCACAACCTAGTACTGGAGTAAAGCCCTTCGCCACAAGTTTAGCCTTGTGACGATTAATAGTACCATTCACAAGAAACTTTAAGGATTAAATCCAGCGACAGTCAACAGGCTTCACTCCTGAAGGTAAAGAGTCATGATCCCATGTATGATTACGCTGAAGAACATCCATCTTCGTCTGCATGGCAAGAATCCAATTGGGCTCCCGCATAGCCTTTGAAATAGTGTGAGGAACCGGCGTATCTGATAAGACCCTACTATAAGCTCGAAATGTAGGAGAAAGATAATCATAAGAAATATAAACAGAGATCGGATATAAAGTCTTGGCGGTCCAACCATAACGAACAACTGGAAGGCAATCACGCTGTGGATAATGACGCCCTAAATCATCATCCTCCATTGACAATGTCTCATCAGGGAAAGTAACTGACTCAGTACCTACAATCTCATAAGTACTAACAACAGGTGCATCAATATGTTCAACGAACTGAGAAGTATTACCTGCATCGCCTAAGATAGAGGGGACATCAATAAGGGGATGAGAGCGAGGACGATGAACATAAACCTGCAAAGGAAGGGAGACTAGTGTCTCTATACTGATAGGGACGAGTGGCTTTGGAGGAGGAGAGACTAAGGACTCTGTAGTAATAGTAATCAATGGTTCGGGCTCCTGTGGTAATGGAAAAGCATAGGGAGTATCAGCAACTGGAGGGGCAGACACAGGACTGGAAGAAAAATAAGAAATGTGCTCAAGAAAGGTAACATTTAGACTGTGATACATACGACGCTTGACAGGATCATAACACCGATACCCCTTAGACTGATGACAATAGCCCACAAAAACACAATGAATCGTTTTATCATCAAGCTTATGGCGAGTAGGAGACTAATCCTGAACAAAACATGTGCAGCCAACACTACAAGGGGGGATTGGAAAAAGAGTTCGCTCAGGGAATAAGACCTGTAAAGGAGTCCTATGCTGAAGAACACGACTCGGTGTACGATTACACAGAAAGGTAGAAGTCAAAACAGTAAAATACCAATAAGATTTTGGTACCCCCATACCTCTAAACATACAATATACCATCCCTATTAGACTTCTATTTTTCCTTTCAGCAACTCCATTTTGCTCAGGAGTATATGGACAAGTAAGCTGCTGAAGGATACCCTGAGAGGAAAGTTGAGACACTAAGGTATCAGACACATATTATTTGGCATTATCCGAATGAAAAACATGAACAATGACATCGAATTGTGTCTTAATCATCTGGAGAAACTGAGTAATAAAAGGGAGTACATCAGATTTTCTATGCCAAAGGTAGATCCAAGTACAACGGGTATAGTCATCTATGAATGTCACATAGTATCGAGCATCTGACAAAGCAATAACAGGAGAAGTTTCCCAA